CCCGCGGCGGCCGCGAGGCCCCGCGCGACGACGCGCGCCGCGTCCGCGCCGACGCCCGCGGCCAGGTCCGCGGCCGAGAGCGGCGGCGGCGCCGCGGCCGCGGCGAGCAGGGGCTCGCGCGGCGCGGGGCCGGCCGCCGCGATGGCCTGCGCGCCGGCCCGGTGCTCGTCGGCCGCGCGGACCTCGCCGAGGAGCTCCGCGAGCGTGCCCGCCGGAACGTCCGCCGCGGCCGCCTCGAGGATCCCGCGGCCGACGAGCACGGCGCGGAGCTCCTCCTCGGAGAGCTGCGCCGCCCGCGACCGGTGCGACGCCCGGTCCACCGCGTCGGCGGGGCTCGTGCGCCGCGCGAACGCGAGCGCCGATTCGATGAGCAGCGCGTCGTCGGCGGAGGCCTCTGGTTTCGCGATCGCTTGCGTTTCGGGCGGCGTTGCGAGCCTGCGCGTTCTGCGATGGTTCTGGTGCGGTGTCGGCGCGAGGCCTCCCGCAAGTTGCGCGAGCAGCGCCGCGACGACGACGACAAGCTTCGCCATGAGCGGCAAGGTCTGGGAGGGCGCAACCAGTCTTCAACAAGACTTCAACCTGCAGCCCTTACGACCCCCCGAGCAGCAGCGACGGCTCGTCCGTCGGCCGGTCGAGGAGCGCGGCGGCGGCGCGCTCGAGGTCCGCGGCGTCGGCGCTGGGCCACTCGAGCCCGCGCTTCTCGACGAAGGCGCGGTTCCAGAACCGGCTGAGGTAGCGGTGGCCCGAGTCGCAGAGCACGGTCACCACCGTGATGTCGTCGCGGTCCGGGTGCGCTTTCCGCAGCTCCGCCGCGGCGCGCAGCGCCGCGACGCAGTTGAGCGCCGACGACGATCCCAGGAAGAGGCCCTCGAAGCGGAGGAGGTAGTGCGCCATCGTCAGCGCGTCCGCGTCCGACACGCGGCAGGCGTCGTCGACGCGCGCGGCGCGGAAGTTCGCCGTGACCCGATCGAGACCGACGCCGTCCATGATCGTGTCGTAGCGGTGCCGCTCGACGAAGCGCTCCGCCTGGCGGGCGTCGTAGCAGACGCCGTGCCGGACGCGGCCGTGGAGCGACGAGCCCTGCGGGTCCGCGAGGTAGATGCGCGGGCCGTCGCCGAGGCCCAGGGACACGCCGGCGATGGTGCCGCCCGTGCCCGCGCCCATGGCGAAGGCGTCGACGGTCCGGCCGAGCGCGGCGGCCTGGCGCCCGATCTCGCGCGCGGTGCCTGTGACGTGCGCGCGGACGTTGGCGAGGTTGTCGAACTGGTTCGCGAAGAGCACGCGCTCGCCGGCCGCGGCGAGATCCGCGGCGCGCTGCCGCGCGACGTTGACGTAGTGCGTCGGGCTCGCGATCGACGCCGCGCGGACGACCTCGACCGTGATCCCCGGGAACGCGGCGATGGCGTCGCGCTTCTCCGCCGCGCAGTCGTCGGGCAGCACGGCGACGAGCCGGTGGCCCGCGGCGGCGACGAGGGGCGCGAGCCCGATGGTCGTCGACCCGGACGAGCCCTCGACGACGACGCCGCCGCCGCCCGACGGGAGCGCGCCGGACGCCTCGGCCTCCGCGA